GTGAGAGAGATCTAATGGAGTTTTGGAGTGTGAGGGAATTGATAGAAAGTTGAGAGAATTTGAGAGCAAATTCTGATGAATGAGAGTGAATGAGTGTGAAATTTGAAATTATAAGGGTTTTCCCTTGAGGTTTGGAATGAATTAGCTTAAATAAGCTTTTGGTTAGGAGTCAAATTGTGGTTTGGAGTGAGGTTTTAAAAATTGGAATGGGATTAAGAATGAGAATTTGGAGGAAAATTGAATTGGTTTTGAAAATAAATCAAAATTAGAGTGATTCTAGATCCTTCTACTGGTGTAAAAACCAATTCACAAATGATCAAAATGGACCCCAAAAGTGGCAGCATTGAAAATGCACGTATCTGGGAAAAATTTCCTTTGGTTAATCGATTAACCATTTGCTAGTGCAAATTGGTTAATCGGTTAACCACTCACAAATTTTGAAAAATGCGCCATTTGGAGGGAAACTTGCACATTCGTTTGTTTCCACCCGTTCTGAGCCACGTTAAGGCTCTGAAACTTGCCTTTTGATATGGTAACTAAAAAATGCCTGAAATAACTCGTGACCTGTCTCCTGTGCTAAGAATAGCCTATTGAATAAAATAAAATCGGGCACTCGATTGTTGGGAAAAATAAATGTCGAAGCCTCTAACGCTTGTTGTTTGAAGCTTGCAATGAAAGGGAACCATGAGCCATAGAAAAACCTTGATCCCATGTCTCAAGAACCAATGCCATGATATGCAAAAATGCAAAATGCAAAGAAACACAAGTCAGTTGCGGTCAAAACGAAAGGGCAAATTTTGGGGTGCTACACACTACGAGCCGAGAATCTATCTATAGTGTAATGTTTTCTACCACCATTTTGGGTCAATGTGAGGCGGATGAAGATGACTTCATACTCATCTTGATTATTGGTGGTTAGGTACTCAAAGCGTAAGGATAGCTCAATCACCAATCTAGCTTCTTTCTCCAAAATATTTTGGCCTCGCTCTCTCGAATGTTAGACAAGTCATCCTTGAATACAATGTAGTTTTATGCTGGCTCTAATGTTCCTGAAGTTATTTTTGCAATGAAATCTGCAAACAATTAAGTCTTCAAAACTTTCTTTAGTTCAAATAAGATGTAGAAATCAAACAATTCATTTGACCACTTTGTCTTCCGCCCCGTTAACTCTATGCGGCGGAGGACTTGTTTCAACGGTAAATGCAACTGAATTATGATGGCATCTTGTTGCTTATAAATGTGTCACATGCAAATATAGATCTATGTTTAAAAGTAGAAAGTGATAAAAAGTAAGGATATTGTACCACATGGAGTGAATGTTAGGTTGATTTTGTAATACTCTTTATTTTGATTTTAAGCATGAGCAAGGATAAAATTGATATATGAATGTCACAAGTTCAATCTTTTCTCTTTAAACCAGATCTATAAACAGTGCAACGTAAGAGTGAAATAACATCAAAATAATGCATGTTGAGCCAAGGTCCATTAATGTTAATGATGTAACACTGTATTCATGAAGTGTAATGTCAAGCCAAGAAAGGTCAGAGTGATCTAAAGGTGTACTTCTGCAACATCAAAACATCTATTATTAAGGCAAGGGAACAAATATCTAAGTCAAACTTATAACCTTAAAATATGTCTATTATATTCTGAATTACCTTATAGTTTTAGTTCCTTATCCATAAGTGAACTAATCAAGTGAATATCTCTATCCTACTCTTTTTAGCTACTTTTATTATAATATCTACTTGTTGGATCTCTCACAACAACAAGCTGTTATCTTTTTCTAAGTTGAACACTCAAACAATCAAATTTATGAGCGAGTTAACACATAATAAAATAAGGCCCTAAATACTCTTCATTTAACATAAAAACATCATAACATTAACTTTCCAATGCTCAACATACAAAAGGTTTAGCTCATGATGAGCTAAGAACAAGCTACAGACATGGTTCTTAAAAGATACATTCCTAAACAAATACTGAAAAATAAAACCTAAGATTAACTTGAGGACTCCTTGAGAGGGATAATTAGCAAGGGGTGACTCCAATCGCGTTAGGGCTCACCAGCCAGTACAAGAAATTATGAGAAGAATGAACTCTCTTTTTTCTTTCCACTAACCTCACATTGTTATATTATGTCTTGTATTCTTGGAATTTTGAACTCTCTTTCTAATCTTTAGCAGGGTCTATTTATAATCATCCACTAGGGTTTTTTCTGGTGTCTTGGATCATGGGTCAGAGTTAAGGAAATCACATTAACCCAATAAGGTACAAGAGAACATTTGGGGAGACAAAATGTCTTGTGACAGACTGCCACACCAAGGTACAAGCGGCGTTGTCCTTTCTTGCAGAACGTGCAGAGTGATGGTTATACTATTGTACTATCTTTGTCTTATAACGCCTCTTTGATTTTATCCACTTAATTCAAATGAATTTCCTTCAGTCTAAAGCAATGTTTCCCTCCAATACGTCATTCCTTCCAAGCTTTCCTTATGACTCATCTCCTTTCTCCATTTAATTTCTTTGGCAAAGTCCATATTCCTGCTTCAGTTAGCACTCCTAGGTACTGTCCATTACAGTCTTGCAATAACTCGTCAAAGTTGCTCTTAAACCAAACAACAAAAACATTAAACCAACAAAAGGGAGAACATATTATGCTCCAAGCTAATTTCCATGAAACAGTTAAAATGAACTAAAAGTAACTACTAAAAAGGTAATAAAACTAACAATGTGAAATAACTAAGGTAAATAATAACTCACTAAAGGTAGGTTATCATATGTGCTAGAAATTATTTTAGCAACTTCATAGACGCGGTCACAATGCCAATGCCACATTCTCTACATTTTGATAGTATACTTGTGGTTCGAATAGGACTTTAGAGATGAACTAGATCGGGCTCTAAATCAAATTTAACTTTCATATGAGAACAACCTTATCTACTTCATCGAATTTAACCAAGTAAAGGAATAAGGTCTCCCTGGTATAGGGAAGGGACAACAATGGTGGAGTAGACTTAGCCATTTTTAAGGACACAAATGATTACTTGTATTTTGGGGTGTTTAAAGTGTGCTTCTTTTTTCAATAGTTTGTAGAATTATAAAGTATGTAGGACTGGCATTGAGATGAACCTGGTAAGAGCTGTTAGCATTCCCTTCAGTCTCATGGCCTCCTTAATTGTGGTTGGTGCCATCATTTGGATCACCGCTTCATATTTGTCTAGGTTTGCCTCTATGCCTTTCTCCGTCAAATAAAAGCCCATAGTTTTTTTAGCTACGACTCCAAAGGTACACTTCTTTGGATTAAGCCCTATGTTGTATTGTTGGATTCTTTGGAATACACAAGAGAGTTGCTTGTCATGTAGTTCTTCTTCGTCAGACTTGATGATCATATCGTCCATGTACACCTCAAATACTTCGCATATCTCTTCCTTGAAAACCTATTTCATCATCCTCTGGTACGTCGCCCGTGCATTTTTTAGACCAAAAGGCATCACGTTGTACTGGTGATTGGCTTGTTTGGTCATGAAGATTGTTTTCTATCTATTCAACTCATACATGAGATTTTGGTTGTATCTAAAATAAGCGTCCATGAATGGCAAAAACTTATATCCATCTAAATTGTCCACCAACTTGTCTATATTTGAAAGAGGTGTGAGTCTTTAGGGCATGCTCGATTGAGATCGTGTAATTAACGCATAACCTCCACTTCCCTGAAACATTATTTACCAACACGACATTAGAAAGACATTAAGTATACTTAACTTCAAAGATAAAGTTGGTGTCAAATAAGCCTCAGACCGTTTTTCGTGGTTTATTCGGATTTTTCATATGATTGTCTCCTCCTACGCTGAGACACATACCAGACACAGGGATAAAAATTTAACAAATGACATGTTACATTTGAATATGTCTGGCATCTAGTGGGGAGAAACCGTGAAGAAGTCGACATTGTCCTTCAGGCCCTCAACGAGTCCTTTATTTATCCTGTCTGGCAATCAGTATCTATTCGAACTGATCGAGCCGAGTTATCATCGAATTGGGCGACTTTGAACTCTATGTCTAAGGTCAGCCTCAAGGTCTTCATCTTCCCCCTGATTGACATGCTTAGTTTGTCGTCATACGAAGCTTTGTCCTCCGCGTTTCGAGATACTATGATGATTACTTTGTTGGCCTTTTCCTTCCTCTCTCCCAAGGGACAAGGACAGATGTTAGAGAACTCTTTATTGTTGCATCATATATAAGACAAGCTCCACACATCTCGATTTTAAGGAGGACTGGTTGACTCGCATCGTTATGATATTCATCTTTATTATTGCAATTAAAAAACTTGATAATAATATTTATTAATAATTTAAAAATATATATTAAAATTAGAAAATAATTTTCATAGTTTTTATTAATACCTCTCACTCGTCTTATACATAACTCTTTATATCATAACAAAATACAAATAATATTTAACGTAAATGCATGTCATTTTACATTTATTAATAATTTTAAAATCAGATAATAATTTTCATAGTTTTTATTAATACTGGCCTCTGTCACGTCTTATATGAACTCTTTGTATCATAACAAAATACAAATTTGTTCGTTGTATAAAACAAACAAAAACCAAATAATAGTGTACTTTGTTTCGCAGCTAGCCAATGAGTAATTTCTGTTTTGAGCCTGCAGTATATCCCTTATGGGCCTGTTTATTGCTCTAATGTGGGCCTAATCGAGCCCAGCCCGTAGCAGTAAAAACAGAAAAACAACGCGTACGAGAAAAAATGTTGAACCTGACGTGAATCGAACACGCAACCTTCTGATCTGGAGTCAGACGCGCTACCATTGCGCCACAGATCCAATTGTTGTTTAATTAGCGACATAACTTTATTAATTATTGTTATTATAGAACAAATACAGTATAAATAACATTTTCCCGCCAAACTCAGCGAACCAAAATTTTCGTTCTCTCAATCTTGGAGAGAATCTTGAATTTTCGCGGGAAATCAATGGAGGAAAGTTTGGAATACATCGACATCAAGCTTTCTCCGGCGAAGCTCCCACTCGATCTTCCTCTAGATCCGCCGACGAAATCTCCACCGATGAAATCTCACCGCCGTCTCCGGCGACGAGGCGACACCTGGGTAGTGTCTGTGTTGGTAATAATCCACATAGGGTTTTTCGTTACGACGATGGTGGTCAACGATTGCTACACCAATTCTCACGGTGATTGCACTTTTCCATCTCTCGGAAGGTTATCGTTTCAGCTTCTCTCTGAAAATCCACTGTTAGGTCCTTCCATGTCAAAGTGAGTAGTTATTACGTTCTGTTCACAGTGATTCTATAATTTCTATTCCGTTGAATTTGACTATCTAATTTAGGTTTCAGAGAATCAATTGAAGTATAATTGAAGTGAAATTGAACTACATTCAATGTCTAATTTAGGTTTCAAAGCAATTAATTGAAGTAAAATTGAACTATATTCAATGTCTAATTTAGGTTTCAAAGCAATTAATTGAAGTAAAATTGAACTATATTGAAGGTCTAATTTAGGTTTCAATGCCATTCTATACTGCAATGATGGATAATGTGGTGTTGTTAGTGTAGGTTGGATGAAATGGGAGCTCTTCGAAAGAACGTTTTGACGGAACATCATCAAACTTGGCGTCTTTTCACGTTTCCATTTTTGCATGCTGGACTCTTCCATCTGGTTATCAATCTCTGCAGTGTGATCTATGTTGGAATTCGCCTAGAGCAGGAGTTTGGGCCATGTAATGTTTTTTTTCATTTGGGTTTTTTGTTTCACGTGTTTCTTACATGGAACACTAACACTAACACTAACACATAATTAACACGACATTGATTATATGCGAACACCATAATTTTGTAAGAAATTTGAAGTGATTGAATGTAATTACATGTAACATATTACTCTCAGGTCGGACTTGTTTTTAATTTGAAGTGTTGGTGTTACCTAGAATCAATTGATTGAGGTGATGCAAATTTAATAAAATTATATTGAAATGCTTTCATGTTGATTTGTGTTTTTAAATAGAAGTTTTCGTGCTATGCAGAATCAATTGATTGAGGTGATACATGCAAATTTAATACAATTATATTGAAATGCTTTCATGTTGATTTGAGTTTTTTTTTTTCTTTCTTATTTGCAGTAAGGGTTGGTATAATCTATATACTATCTGCTTTTGTGGGTGCCTTAATGGCTTCACTTTTTCTTCAAAGCATCCCTTCTGTTGGTTCTTCTGGTGCTTTATTTGGATTACTAGGAACATTGCTTTCAGAATTTGTTTGGAATTGGAAATTTCATACCAATAAGGTACTTCTTAGTTTTCACCTCATTGCTGTTTCTCATTATTCGGCATGACTGATTTTTGATCAATTTTTTATTGGGTTAAATGCAGATTTCAAAAATAGCATCATTAGTCTTTGTTTTTGTGTGCAACTTCTTCCTTGGTTTTATGCCATATGTAGACAATTTTTCAAGCATTGGAGGTTTTATATCAGGATTCCTTCTTGGAACTGTTCTTTTATTCACCCCACAGCCCCAGCAAATAACTCCAAATAAAGGAGGTCAAATTGATTATGGTTTTAAAAGTTACATCAAGCTGAAGTTCAAGCAAAAGCTAGACAGACCAGTTACTAGAATTGTTTCTCTTATCCTCTTCACCCTGTTGTATGTTTTTTTTCTTCCTTTTTTTACATTCTCTTGTTTTATTCTATTTAATTTGAGTTGTTAGCTGTCGTCTATCGCTTGCACTTTCCGGTATACGTGTAATCATTTGATGAGGAACTTCTTTCTGTATATGCAGATTGGCTGGTTGTTTTCTTGGAGTTCTTTATGGAATCAACATCAACAGTTATTGCACATGGTGTCCATATGTTGACTGTATCCCTTTCACAAGCTGGCATTGCAAAGACAAAGAAATCTTTTGTGAGGTATACAGCTTACTTTTGGCATTTCTCAAATTTTAAATACCTAATAAAATTTATATCACTTGCTTTGGTGATTTGCCAAGTTACAACTTCAAATGAACAATAACATAAACTAAAGGAAAAAAGGAAAACAAAATTGATTCTGCCTAAAATATTTGTCAAAATAGAAGTAGTAAAGATTTGCAGTTTGTTGAATAATCCAAGTTTTAGATCAAATTTACTTGTATAATATAAACATTCCAACAAAATTCAATTCAACTTGAACAGATTTTAATAAATTCAGATTTTACAATGATGAGTAAAACTTATGCTGGTTAAATATGTACTACAACTGCAGACAATGGTGAGTAATGCTCACTTGACGATGACATGTTTGGGGAATGGCAACTTTAAGGTCTATCATTACACCAATATCTCTCGAGCAAGGATTAATGATTTGTGCTATATGATATGTTGATGAGACACAGCTTGCTTGGATAATTCCTTTTGTCCTAATTACCAGGTAATACTGGATTGGTAAAGATAGTTTCATATCTTACCAAATTGTTATATTCTCTTTTTGAATATAAATAAATCCGAACTTGATTAGAAACTTAGGGGGATGATCGGATACAATCTGATGCAAGAGTTTGTGGAGCTTGCCTTTTGATGTAAATACCACTAGGGTGTAACTTTTCAAGTTCTTGTGTAATAAATCCATTTCAGTTCAAAAACTTGGTTTTTCTGACTTTTTTCTTATTGTCATTTTCATTCATTTTTAAAACTTAAAGAGTGACAGCTATTATAGCTATTATGTGACACTTGTAACCACTTTTCAGTTCTGTTACAACTCTAAGAATAAGCTTGCATAACATGTAATTGCATAATTACATGTGACTGCAACTATAATAAGTCAGTGACTTGTGAGTTGTTGAGTTGAGTATACATACACCCGGCGCCGCCGCCTAAACAATTAAAGGCTATATCAAGCCACGATGCTATAAAAAGTGCAATAAAGACTGAAATTCCATTAGCGTGGGCCCTGAATTTGTATAGGGATCAAAGTTATATAGGTAATTAAAGTGTCAAAACCTTCGGATCAAATTGTAGATCCGTTAAATAAATGGAGTAGGTTTGTACCTCATTCTCTCTCTGCCAAACCAACCAAGCAGATCAACTAAAGTCAGAGCAGAAGATGAATGAAAAGAAAGCATGCTGCTTTAATTCTTTTTTGATAGTGGTGGACTATACTTTTTTTTTCCTCTTTTGTTCTCATCAATTGAAGTAATTATAAAGATACCTCTGCTAGGCAGATTTTAAACATAATTTGTTAGTATTATGTAAGACTAGTCCCTCAAATATTAGAAAATGTGGGATACCTACCTCCTCATATCACTTTAATTAAAAATGGAGAAAAGAAATATCTGCCGAAATTTTAAGTCTTTTTCTTTAGTCGTGGTACTGCGGCTCAGAAAACATACACACCGGACAAATGCAGCATTAGCTAATGGTTTGTTTGAGAGTTTAGAGAAAGGATTTCAAAAGGAGAAAAGTTATAATTTAAAAAGGGAGATAAGACTGTTCCAAAAATAAGTTTTTAAAAAATATGGAAAAATATTTGATATTTTTTAAAAGAATTATTTTATATAAAATGATAAAAGATTGTTTATTATTATTATATTTTTAATTTTTAAAATACTATAACAATATAAAATATATTTAAAAAATTTATGTAAGGTCTCAATAACTCTTCAAAACCGTCCTTCAATATAAATATTGAGTTTTTCAAATTAAGATGTTTTTTTATAGTATTAATAAAAACAAACTCTCTAAAACTCTCCCAATCAAAATTCTTTAATTTTTTCGAACTTAATCTTCCTTTTTTTTTTTAAAGATAAAAATTAGATACAATTTTTTATGTAATTTTTACTAGACAAATATATAATATCTTCTTACACATATTTCTTACACATATATGATTTTTTCTTATTTTTACTTCTTAAATGATACTCTTTTTGTTTCACAATAAATGACTTAGTTGATCATTTTATATATTAAAAAAAATGAGTAAATAAAAAAGAGAATGATATTTATACTAAAATATCTCTTATTAAAAATTAAAAATAATAAAAATAATATTAATTATAAGTTAGAATAAGAAAAATGTGCACTTAAAATTAAAATTAATTATTCAGTTTAAAAGACACATTTTTATTTTAAATAGATGGTGCAATGCATCGTGGAATGGAAGGAGTATTTAAAAACTTTAAAAAAAAGAAATCTAATATCCAGTTACAAATTATTAGTGGAACAGTCTTATCTCTCTTTTTATCAGTGCAATGGAGTAGTTATTTGCTCCTCTGTCTCAGCTAATTATCAAATTAAGTAGAATCAACTCAATAAAAAACTTCAATTTTAAAAAAAAAAATATTTTTATGAGGTAACATATTTTTATTTTAAAAATTTTCTCTTAAGAAGTTTTAAATAAAAAACTAATTAAATAACTTTTCATAAAATATAACTTTAGATATTTTATAATTATATTATAATATTTTTTAGATATTAAAATTTCAAAAAATTATTTTATTTTTAAAAATTTGAATAAATTTGAATAAAAATTATTTTTGAGACCTATCATTTAAAAAACTACGTGATTTTACTATATTTTAATCATTAATAATGTATATTTATATTATGGGATATGAAAATAAATTTTATAATTTATAAAAATACATTAACATTTTAAATATTTTGAATTTTCTTTCGTTCATAAAATTCATTTTTAAAATATTAAAGAAAACTATTTTTTAAAGCTATAGAAAACGGCTAATATGTCACATGAAGCACTTATCTTGATAAAAGGCCAATTTTCAAACAAGTAAAAAGAAGAAGAAATTTTGTACTCCCATTTCCTAGTTATATATTTGGCACCCCCTTTATATTTATACTGATCAAAATATCCTTCACATTATTTATCTATTTTAGATTAATAGTGAGTCAAAATAATTCACTCTGTAAAATTTGAAATATCTAATAGTGGTAGCAAAAAATCCAGTACAGTTTTTTTCTGAAATTGGTGAAAAAATTTATAATTGTACCGTATTTTAAAAATATAGTATGAGTTTTTACTGGATTTTTTTTTTAATTCAATGCATTTATAACGTATTTTTTTAAAATCTAGTACTTTTTGAAAAAATTGATGTTTTAAAACCAAATTTTCTGCATTCTTGTAAAAGTTTTGGTATTACCGAATTTTTAGCTCAGGTACAAAAAAAATCTGGTAGTTTAATTTATAATGCTATATTTGTGCGCTCAAGAAGGATGATTACTTTACATATTTTATGCAATTCTTACCACTGACGTCATATGTTTTACTCGTATGTTTTGTTTTTAACTTGTGATAGGTTTGGGGTATCTCTGGCATAAACAATTATTTTTTATATGTTGTAAATGATAGTTATTTTCCTCCCGGGTTGACATATTAGCATGACCACAATCTATTGGTAAACAATATGGTATTATTGTTGTTACTATTTGTTATGATACCGCAAATGAGATTAGAAGGAGGAAAGATAAATCGATTATGTGTTGTGAGAAATGTGGAAACTACAAGAAGAATTCCTCTCAAGGCACTTAGTATGAAAGTTAAATGTGCATTTATGCTAAGATCTGTGTCAAGTGGTAGAGGTTGGAAGGTGACGGTTTGGTGTGGAATTAAAAGTTATGAACTAGCTACGAATTTAGATGGTCATTACATATTAGGTCGTTTAAAACATAATGTAAGACAATTTATGAATGACATGATGAATTACAATATGACCCCAGGTACACAATTGTTTCTTTGAAAGATAGAGATCCATAAAACCCGGAGAGCATTACAAATGTGTATAAGGCAAGATCTAAATACAAGACGAGCAAGAGAGGTCCATTGACTGAAATGAAACATATGTTGAGTCTAATTCATGATCAGAAATACACGTACGGGTTCAGAAATAGGGATGATTTAAATGATATTGCTCATATCTTTTAGACACTTCCTAGCTCAATGATGTTGTTGACCATGTTTTATTTAGTGTTGATTTTTCATCATACATACAAAACAAACATGTAAGCCCTTCCCTAAAAATGTAAGTTTTCCTTTAATTGACTATGAGAAGATTTTGATTATTGACTATTGAATGCACAACAAATAAGTACCGGCTCCCACTACTTGAGATTGTTGGTGTTACGTCAACGAAGTTGATATTTTTAATTGCATTTGCTTATTTGGAACATGAAAGGGAGGAAAACTTCACATGAGCACTAGAGAAGCTGAAAGAGTTGTTAGCATTTGAAAAGTTTCTATTAAAGGTTGTCGTGACAGATCGGGAACTTGCGTTGATGAATGCCCTGGAAGTTATGTTCTCATCATTAATTCATTTGTGTATGTGTGTGTGTGTGTTTGTTTCATATTTAAAAAAATGCTAGTATGAGTTTGTATGCTAATAGGCAAAAGCATGTTATGGATCTATGGAACAAAATCATGTATTCAAATAAAGAGTTTGAGTTTATGGAATACTTGAAGCATTTTGAGGTAGTATGTATTTATATTTCTTTATTTGTTTCAGTATGTGTACCAAACATGGTTGACACCTGATGAATTCTCGGCAAGTGTACTGATATTGTCGAAGTAATAGTTAAGATCGAATCCACAGGGACTATGCTCGAACAAGATGATATTTGTGCAATATAAAGAAAACAGTAAAGGGGGGGGGGGTTCAGTTTGCAGTGGAAAAACAAAATAGGAGTTTTAAAACAAAATTATGGAAACAATAAGGTTGTGTATTGAATCCCGTATTTCTTTATTGTTGATGTTTGATGCCTTGTATGAATGATCCTATCACTATAATCCCACGGTGAATTAATAAAGTCTCTATAACTGATCCCTCTGTTAGAAAAAGATTTGTTCATGACATATTTTTCTTGAGTTTTAATGATAATAAAGTATTGAAAGAACAATGATTTATTTGATGTGTGTTATATGTGTGCATGTTCTAATACTTGTAAATATTATAGTCAGAATCTGTTTGACATTAGCACACTTAGGAGTTGCTAAATTGCTAGCTTCTGGTGGCAGAATCTGAAGAACACTTGCTAAGTGATGTTTGGCGTAGACTCTGAAGCTGAAGGTCTCAGCATCGGAAAAAGCAACATAATTGTCTCTATACTTAGTGAACGTAAATTGGCTTTTGATACCATTCAGAGTTGGTGATGAAGTTGAAGTTATCCGTACTACAAATAAAAGTTGTATTGTCAAATCAGTTTGTCGACTAAAGTCTACAGATTGCAAGGTTCAAAAAAGGTTGATATGTTTTACGTATATCTTCTAGTGTATATATCTTCAACGTCTCTTATACTATGGAGCAAAAGAAAAGACTCTTGATCAAATTACCTCTTCAACGACTAGTTTCTGTAAATGCTATATACATGGCTGAAGGT